TGTGAAATGCCACATCTGGCTTGTTGTGAGTTGCAGAGATCCAACACAGGTGGTCAGGCTTGCATGGCAAGTGCTTTCACTCACTAAGCCATATAGCCAGCACTGATGATATTCCTTATAGCACATGTACCTCAACTGATACATGGTGTGTCTATAAACTTAACATAAGAATGGCATCTAGAAACAAATGCCTCTAGGTTACTTGTCCTCCGTTATGTCTTTCTCCTGAAATAAAGCTTCCTGGAGTCTAATACTGCCATGCCATACCTTAGGTCAGGCTCTAGGGCTCGCACTCTGGTTCTGTCTCTTGTTAGCTATCACCTCTAGGGAGTTACTTAACCTTTCTAAGCTTTAGTGCCACCACCTGTCAACTAGGATTCACAAAAGTCCCTTTATCAAAGGAATGTTAGTGTGCTGGAGTTGGCAGGAGCAGTCAGCGTGACCAGGAGGTGCAGTCCAGGGCCAGTCACAGGGATAGACATAACCATCACAATCCCCACCCTTGGAGCTCACATTTGAATACTCTTCACTCATCTGCACTGGCTTCTCTCCCCTCCCTGTCTGCCCCCAGAGAACCCCAGGTCCCCCACATAAACTATGTGCTGGGTCCATGGACAGGTGAATTTGCAGTTCTGGGCGGGACTGCTTTCCACCAGTTGCAGCTCCCTCACATCAGTCACTCCATCTGCACTCCTGAATGCTGACGATGACCCTCAGGAGCCGCAGATTTCTCAGTATCTGGACAATATCCAGAATTTGTTGAATGTTGTATTTTCTTGCTGGAAAGAAAAGCACAATCCTTTAGTATTTCAATTTTCCTCTGCACCTCTGACTTGTCTTTCTTTAAATTCTGAGAGTCTGTGGGGCCTGGGAGGTGATGCAGCTTCATTTCAATGGGGCTGGAGATCTAGCTGAGCAGCAGAGTGCTTTCATAGCCTGTGCAAGGCCCTGGGTTCCTCAGCTCAAGGGAAAAGGGGAGAAGAAGGGTGGGGAGAAAAGGGACAGGACACTGAACCTGAACAACTAGAAAAAAAATACAGCCTTGAATTGGAACCTCCCTAGCAAGTCGAAGCCAAGCCAGGGAAGTGTGGAGCTAAGCAGTCCATCTTCTCCAGCCCCAAGCTAGGAAGCATATACAGCCATAGACTTGGCCCTCAAGAAATAGCTGTGGATCTAGGTGTAGAATGCACAATGCAGCAAGCTTCCCCAGAATCCATCTCAGCATCAAGAAACTTAAACAATTCCACGTGTAGGTCAGCAAATCACGGAGCAGGGTTCTGTGTGGGCAGAGCCAGATGAGGGGACAGAGAAGAGGAAGTGGGTGGTGGGCAGGGAGAGTGCATGGTTCCTGTGTGGTTAGAACCTTGGTGAGAGGCAAACATTGACAAATGGCCAAAGAGTAGAGGCCATCCCTGAGACCACAGCCCAGTTTTCAGAGACGTGTGAGGATTTAGTATGATAGACTCTTGCAAATGAAATTGCTAAAATATCACATGATGAAGTACAAACACAGCCACCATCCTTCTTAAGAATATGGAAGGTTTTTGCAGACCTGGGGACAGAACCCAGGACCTCATTAATGCTAGGCAAGTACTCTCCCATTGAGCTCTAGCCTCAGCCCCTTTGAACATTTTAAATATTTTTTGTTTCCTTCTCCAAGGCTCAAAAGAGCAAAAATGGGTGTTCAACAAAGACTCCTGATTAAATTTTGGATCCCAACAGGTGGTGGAGCTGGGGGTGAGTGGCACTGACATGACTGAATAGTGGCATTGGTCACAGTGGCCACAAGGGCTGTAACGATGATCAGCATGTCGAACCCAACAGTACAAAAGCAAAGTTAGTTAAGAATCAAGGTCAAGACACAGTTCTGGGAAAACTTTGAACTCAGTGTCTTGTGCAAAGCAATACTCCCACTATAAAATGGATTTGAAAAAATAGGGCAATGAATATGAAGCAAGAAACCCTATATTTGGACAACCCTATGATCAAAGAATCACCCCAGGGAATCTGTAGAAGTCAGCTAAATCGTATCACTTTGTCTTTCATAATAAATCTCTACTTTTAAAAATATTTCAATTTATTTTCAGAATACATAATACAATCTTTCTGGTCATTAATTTTATTAAATGTATCATTTTTAAAGTACTTATTTGTATTATTTTTAAAAAATCACCTGTGTGAGTGTGTGTGTGTGTGTGTGTGTGTGTGTGTGTGTGTATACATGAGTGTGGATGCCTGAAGAGGCTAGAAGCATTGGAACCACTGGGGCTGGAGTTACAGACCTTTGTGAGCCACCCAATAGAGTGTTGGGAGCAGAACTCAGGTCATCTGTAAGAGTTATATGCATTCTTAACTGCTGAGCCATTTCTCCAGTCCCATAACTTTCTAACTGAAGAAGAAATTTGCCATGCCACATGCTTTCTGACCATGGCACCAGAGAACAAGAAAATGTGGACAATAGTGGCTACTTGCTCTTTAGCAACATGCACTTGTAACAAGTTTTCCTGGCTCTTACAGTAGTGATCACAGAGATCCAACCCTACCCAGCTGTGCACTAATGAAGTCTGGACCACAATTTACAGCTTTGTGTTGAGAGACCTCAGTGACTCCATCTTGGATAAAGCCTCTATGGGACTGACCCAGCCCTAAACCCTGTTCCAGGAAAAACCACAAAAAAAGCATACTTGAAACAGACAGAGAACAACTCCCCCACCAGTGTCAATTAACCAGGGACAGAAAAGTACTAAGAGTCCAGATGTCTCTTCAGATTTCCTGAAGGCAGCAGTTATGGTTTGACACTGGGCTGCAACCAATCAGATGCTTGCCAGGCTGGAGACTCCTACTTGCTGAACTTGCTAAAATACACCTATAAAAACCTCTGTCTCCCTAAGTTAGGGGTCTCACATCTGAGATCCTGCTGGGTCGGTGACAGAGCGGGCCCAAGCTTAAGCTTACAACAATAAAAAACCCTTGTGTGTTTGCATCGGTCAGCTCCTTGGTGGTCTTTGGGGTCTCACGAGCTGGGCACAACATCTTGGGGGCTCATCCTGGATCCCTAAGACCACCCCCAGGACCCCTGAACCGAAGGGTTACTGGCTGGCCGGTGTCTGTTTGCGTCTAGTTGTGCCTGTCTGTGTCTGTCCCAGCTTTTGTTTTGAGCCTCAAGGCAAACTTGTGAACAGTGTGGTCAGGAGTGGTTGGAGCGGACGTGCTGGATAACCGTGACCACAGAGGTCTGGAAGACGTTCCAGACCCTGGCAGAGGGGACAGAGGGCCCCAGACTCTGTTGATTTCTGTGAAAGGACAAGGCGAGTCACTCGCATGTCATGGCAGTTTGCTGCTGTCCTACTTTCAGTTTTTCTTCCACATGAGTGGGGGAATTTGATACTTGGCCTTCTGTGTGTCTTTCTGGCTCTGTTTTGTCTTTGGTTGTCTCTGTTTTGTCTTTGGTTGTCTATATCAGTTTAAAGGGCAACATTCCTTTAGTTAGGTTGACCAATCAGGTGCTTGCCAGGCTGGAAACCCCCTACTTGCTGAACTTGCTGAAAAAAAAACTATAAAAACCTCTGTCTCCCAAAGCAAGGGGTCTCACATCTGAGATCCACTGGGTTGGTGACAGAGTGGGCCCAAGCTTAAGCTTACAACAATAAAAAACCCTTGTGTGTTTGCATCGGTCAGCTCCTTGGTGGTCTTTGGGGTCTCACGAGCTGGGCACAACATCTTGGGGGCTCATCCTGGATCCCTAAGACCACCCCCAGGACCCCTGAACCGAAGGGTTACTGGCTGGCCGGTGTCTGTTTGCGTCTAGTTGTGCCTGTCTGTGTCTGTCCCAGCTTTTGTTTTGAGCCTCAAGGCAAACTTGTGAACAGTGTGGTCAGGAGCAGTTGGAGCGGATGCACTGGATAACTGTAACCACAGAGGTCTGGAAGATGTTCCAGACCCCAGCAGAGGGGACGGAGGGCCCCGGACTCTGTTGATTTCTGTGAAAGGGCAAGGCAGGTCTCTCCCACGGTGCGACAGTTCGCCTCTGTCCTACTTCCAGTTTTTCTTCCGCACAAGCAAGGGAATTTACTACTTGGACTTCTGCATGTCTCTCTGGCTCTCTGTTTTGTCTTTGGTTGTCTATTTCTCTGTGACTGAGATGGACGCAATGGGACAGACTCCCTCTACATCCCTGGACCTGGCTCTTGCACATTTTGGAGACCCTCTACACCCCTGGACCTGGCTCTTGCACATTTTGGAGAGGTTAAGACTCGAGCCCATAACCTCTCTGTTGTTGTCAGGAAGGATAAACTAACTACTTTCTGCAGGTCTGAATGGCCCACTTTCAACGTGGGATGGCCCTCGGAGAGGACCTTTGATCCCGTTGTCATTAACGCAGTTGAGAAAATTATTCTTCAACCGTGTGTAGGACACTCGAATCAAATATCATACATAGTGGTCTGGGGAGATTTAGTTAATAACCCCCCTCCTTGGGTCAAGTCTTTTCCTCCTTTACAGAAAACTGAGGCGCTGATGGCTGCAGAACGGAAAACGACAACCCAGAAAGCACCTAAGCCTGAAACCAAACCACCAGTACTGTCACTGTACCCTGTCTTACAGGGCAGCACAGAAGAAGATCTAACTTTTCCTCCCCCTCCTTATCCACCCCCTCCACAGGAGGTACCCCCTCTGGAACCGGCACCCCTGGTACCAGATTCTTCACAGGCACAGGGGGACCGACTCAAGGGACTAGGAGTAGAAGGGCAGCAACACCGGAGGGTCCAGACTTTACTGTTTTACCTCTCAGAGTCGCCGGCCCCACAGATGAGGCCGGCAACCAGCCCCATCACTATTGGCCATTCGCCACTAGTGACCTTTACAACTGGAGAACCCAGAATGCTCCCTTTTCTGAAAATCCTAAGGAGCTTATTAATTTATTAGAAACTGTCTTTTTTATCCAGCACAGGGAGAAAACCTGGAGCCTGTTGGGAAACAGGTTTCACTGAGGTAAAACCTGACAGGTATGGATACCATTATTTGCTAATCATTATAAATACTTTTCCAGGATGGACTGAAGCCTTCCCTATGAAACATAAAATGGCTCAAATGGTGACAAAAAAAAAAAAAAAAAACTGTTGAAAGACAGCCTCCCCAGGTACAGCTTTCCACAGATGATAGGGTCAGATAATGGACTGGCTTTTGTGTCCAAGGTAAGTCAGAGTCTGGCCACAGTTCTGGAGATTGATTAAAAACTACATTGTGCTTATAGACCCCAGAGTTCAGGAGAGGTAAAGAGAATAAATAAAACTCTAAAAGAGGCCTTAACTAAATTGACCTCAGAGACTGGTGGTGACTGGGTGACACGCCTTCTGTTCGCACTCTATTGAGTGCATAACTCTCCTTACCAGATGAAATTAACCCCCTTTGAAATCATGTTTGGAGTGCCCCCTCCCATTATTCCTAACCTCCAGGCAAAGAAGATTACTGAATTTAAAGATCGGGATCTGTTGGATGACCTCAGGGAAATTCAATGGTCCCATAAACATGTATGGCCTAAACTACATGCTCTTTATGAGACAGGACCCCCCTCCAGAACCTCATCGATACCAACCCGGTGACTGGGTCTACATTAAGAGGCATCAGCAAGGATCCTTAGAGCCATGGTGAAAGGGGCCCTCTGTCATCCTACTGACCACCCCCACAGTCCTCAAAATGGTTGGTGTCGCATCGTGGATCCACCACACACATGTATGGCCAGCTGACCCATTCACCATAGAGGACTGTGCATCCCCAGCTTCAGGATGGAGACTTTCAAAGGACCCCAACAATCCACTCAAGCTAAAGCTCACCCAATTTTCAAACTGTTGATTGTATATACTCTGTTCCCCATGATAGCTGCTCCTGCTCCGGGAAGTCTGCATCAACCTATAAATCTGACTTGGGTCCTCCAAGATGTGATAGGAGATAATATTTTATTTCAGATCTCCCAAGTAGCGCCACCGGCTGCTTGGTTCCCAGCTCTGCACTCATGTTTAGATGCTTTCTTTGATTTCAATCCTAAGGGAAGCTCACATCCTTATGCTCTAACTAACTCTCCAGGCCCATACAGAAAACCAGGCCGGCTCTATGTTTGCCCAGGGCCTGGAACTCCAAAATACAAGTCCCAGAAAAACAGATGTGGAGAGGATAGCGCTACTTACTGCGCTCGCTGGGGCTGTAAAGCAATGGGACACATATGGTGGACCCCCCAGGGAGGAGATCTTATTAAGATAACGTGGGAGCAACTGATACCCACTAATCCTCATAAAAATGGTAGGCTCAATATTAGTTTTACTAAAAAAGAAAAGAGAGCCACCGGCTAAAAAGCAGAAAAAATGTGGAGAATAAGACTCTATGTGGGCTGGACCGAACCAGATCCAAGAACTTTATTCTCTATTCGATTAAGAGTAAAAGTTCCTAAGTACCAGACCTGTTCAGTCCCCTTGGGACCAGGTGCTGTTTTAGAGGTCACCCCAGAATCAATCTTGTCAACCACAGCGCCCCCCTCAAATAATGGTTATTCTGACAGCCATGGCCTTCCTGTAGGTGACACTGACTCGCTTTGGTCACTAATGGTCCAGACTTACCAGGTACTCAATGATACCAGGCCAGACCTCACCTCATCATGCTGGTTATGTTAGTCATCAAGGCCCCGTAACTATGAGGGGATTGCAGTCATAGGAAACACCACCCTAGCGCTGGACCAAGGCAGCTGTAGATGGGCTCAGCAGAAAAAAAAATAGGCTTACGCTACAAGATGTTTCAGGGTGAGGGCTATGTATAGGCAAGCCCCCTCATGAGTACACTGCCCTATGCAACCAGATTTTGCCAGTGCTGGCCAATAACTCGTACTTGATACCACCAGATCAAGAATGGTGGACATGTACCTCGAAATTAACCCCATGTGTCCATTCTGAAGTTCTTAACCAATCATCAGATTTTTGTGTTCTAGTACAACTAATCCCTAAAATTATTTATCACTCAGACCAGGATATAAATAGGGCCCTGACTGGGCAAGGACCCCTTCACCGTAATCACCAGGAAAGAGAAGTTGTTACTGCCATCACCCTATCCGTTCTTCTGAGATTGAGACTGGCAGGAGCAGGTACAGGAATTTCAGCCTTGACCTTACAAAGCCAAAACTACCATAGCCTTAGAGCCACAATAGATGCAGACATCCAGAACTTAGAAAAGTCATTTCCCATCTACAAGAATCCCTAACCTCCTTGGCAGAAATGGTTCTGCAGAGTAGGAGAGGCCTGGACTTGTTGTTCTTGCATCAGGGATACCTCTGTGCTGCCCTTAAGGAAGAGTGTTGTTTTTATATAGATCACTCTGGGGTCATCGAAAAATCCCTGGCTAAGGTTAGAGAAAGTGTGGCTCAAAAACAAACAAACAAACAAAAAACGAATATAGGACTAAACAAAAATGGTTTAAATCCTGGTTCAATAGCTCCCTTTGGTTAACCACTTTGATTTCAACCTTACTCAGACCCCTCTTCATTCTGATTATGCTCTTGACTTTTGGACCTTGCATTTTAGATAAATTGGTAGCTTTTATTAAAAAAGAGACTGAGAGCTATACATCTAATGATAATGTGAACCCACTATCAGTCCCTCCAGAGTCTGGGTAATAAAAAACATGAGATGAGGGGGCACCCATGATTGGGCCCCCAAAGTACTAGTCAGAGGGGGGAATGAGAGACCTGAGTGACTCCATCTTGGATAAAACCTCCATGGGACTGACCCAGCCCTAAACCCTGTTCCAGGAAAAACCACAAAAAAGTATACTTGAAACAGATAGAGAACAACTCCTCCACCAGTGTCAATTAACCAGGGACAGAAAAGCACTAAGAGTCCAGATGTCTCTTCAGATTTCCTGAAGGCAGCAGTTATGGTTTGACACTGGGCTGCAAAAAATCAGATGCTTGCCAGGCTGGAGACCCCCCTACTTGCTGAATTTGCTAAAATAAACCTATAAAAACCTCTGTCTCCCAAAGCAAGGGGTCTCACATCTGAGATCTGCTGGGTCGGTGACAGAGTGGTCCCAAGCTTAAGCTTGCCACAATAAAAAACCCTTGTGTGTTTGCATCAGTTGGCTCCTTGGTGGTCTTTGGGGTCTCACAAACTGGGCACAACAGTGTCTCATAGGGCCAGATGGCACACAGGATACACCAGTCAATATGCAGGTCCAGGGCCACTGTGGACTGAGGCGTCAAAGAAGACCAGGGCTCCAGGGAGACAGGTCCTGGGACCAGAGAAGAGCTGGTTCACAGTCCTTACTCTCTAGCCTCACAAGCTGAATTTTCTGATAAGACTGTAGTGGGCAGAGGAAGCTGAGGAAGGAACTGTCCCATTGAAAATGGTGTTCTAAGACTGTTAATATTAGAAATACACATTTGTTCTTCATTCCCAGTTCCCAGCTGGAACTCTTATATTTTGTGCTCCTCCTAAAATATTTTGTGTGTGTGCGTGTGTACGCACGCTATGGCACCCATGTGGAAGTCAGAGGACTATGTATGGAGTTGGTTCTCTCCTTTACCATGTAGGTCCTGGGAATTGAACTCATGTTGTCAGGCTTGATGGCAAAGCACCTTTACTCTCTAAGTCACCTTGTCAGCCTTGTTTTCCTGTTTTTTTTTTGTTTTTTTTTTTTACGTCTTTTTGAGACAGGGTCTCCCTGTAGCCCCAGCTGTCCTGGAACTCCCTCTGTGGACCAGGCTGGCTTTGAACTCACAGAGATCCACCTGCCTCTGCCTCCCGAGTGCCGGGACTAAAGGCGTGCGCCACCACGCCCAGCTGTTTTCCTTTCTTAAAAGATCTTTTGCAACTCCAAGATGCCACAGCCTATGATTCTAATTTTAGATATGGTCAGTTCAAACTAGTATTATGAATAACAACTTTCACTAAACCAGATGTTCCTCAGTCCCTGAGATCTCATATAACATGCCTCAAAACTAAGCAGACGGAACTTGGACATCTGAGCAATGAGTCCCAAACCGTGTCAGAAGCCCCCTCTGGTGCCCTGAAGTCACCTCTCCCCTCCCCAGACAGACAGGCAGATGCATACACACACACACACACACACACACACACACACATACACACACACACACACACACACACACACACACACTCACTCACTCACTCACCAATTCTAAAATTGTCTCCTTCCAAAATAAGCTGTGGGCTCATATGTGTACAGTTTCGGGAGAATCTCGATAACATCCACGTGCAAAATGAAGGGGTTTTTCTCATCCAAGGCAATGAATATGGTGTTGATTAGAATGACGATATCATAAACCCAGACAAAAATCCTGGCATGAGGTGAAAAAAAAGAAAGTAGAACCTGTCATCACCATACAAGTGAAAGGTGTGAGTCTCTTCAGAACCTCCTAAGGCCTCTGTGTTTCCTGGCCACATGATGAATATCAGATCTCCTCAACACACAGTCATCTCCAGGAGGCTCCAGTGGAGCCTGGCCTGCCCACTGACCTGGTGCAGTCCTGCCCTCCAAGAAAACCAGGAGGGGAACAGAAAGAGATGTGACCTAGTTCAGATGCAACCTTAGGCAGAATGGGGCAGGAAAAAGGTTTGCAATTCATGACCAGGACCCTGAGCAATTCATATCTTCCACCAAAAATGCTTCTGAAAGCCTCTTCTGTTCTAACACACACTGTTGGCCCACCCACCTTTTCTCATTGGCTTTGAGAGAAAATTAGGAAACAAGTCAGGCAAGGCAGTGCAGGCCCTATAATCCCGGCACTCCAGAAGCTGAGGCAGGAGGACTACTGCGAGTTGGAGGCCAGCCTGAGCTACAGTGAGTTTGGATCAACTTGGATTATAGTGTGAGATCATGTCTCAGAGAGAGAGAGAGAGAGAGAGAGAGAGAGAGAGAGAGAGAGAACTAGAAAACTACATGCTAACTGGGCTCTAAATCTCATTTTCTGTTCTAGAGCAGGCTGCCACCACTGGCTCCAGTGTCACCCCGTGCCACTGATAATGCTGACAGAAGCACAACTGTGGAAGGTAGAAGACGGACTAGCCCAGGCTTCTCTGTAACACCACAGAGGCCTGAGCCCAGCACACAGGGTGGATGTGAGCACAACAAAATTTCACACACATCAGTTGTTCAACATGGGGATTAACAGAAAAAAGCCTCTGTATAAAAAGCCTTGCTAAAGATCAGATAGCTAATATTTAGCAACTAAAAAGGATACTTTCTCCATAGCTGGAGAAGTGGCTCAGTTGTTAAGAATGCTTACTGATTTTCCAGAGGACCTGAGTTTGGTTCCCAGCACCCACGTGGGACAGCTCACAACCACCTGTGGCTCCAGATCCAGGGGATCTGAGGTTCTCTTTTGGCCTCCACAGGCAGTTGCACACATGTGGCATACACTCACACAGACATACAGACAGACACACACACACACATAAATAAAAATAAAAAGTAAAATATTTTCTTAAAAAGAATATTTTCCCATGTCAGGGAGTTCTGAACCATTCACTCTTATGAAACACTACATGCAAAGAAAGCAGGAGGAGCTGTGGCTGAAGATGAATCGCTACTGATCAGGGCATTCCAACACATACATACAAGACCTCCAGGGCCTGAAGAGAGGGCTCAGCAGTTAAGAGCCCTGGCTGCTCTTGCAGAAGATCCAGATTCAGTTCCCAGCACCTGTACAGCAATTAACGACTGTCTGTAACTCCAGGTCCAGGGGATTTCGTTCTCTCTTCTGGCCTCTGTAGGCACTGCACACGTGTGGTGCACTTACATACATGCAGGCAAAACACTCATACACGTAGAATACAAAATTTTAAAGTCCTCCAACCAGGATAAATGCCTCCTTCTAGTGGCACCTGCTTGAAATTTAAGGGGAAATAAAAAGCCTCCTGGACTTCTTAACAATCTTCCAACAGTGCAGACTCATGAATTCTGACCATATAAACATCACAAGGATTAGGCTTGGAATGTAGTTCAGTTGGTAAAGTATTTGCCTACCATACATGAAACCCTGCATTCAATCTCCAGCACCACAGAAACCAAGTGTGATGTCACATGCCTGTCATCCCAGCACTTGGGAGGTGGGCAGGAGGATTAGGAATTCAAGGTCATCCTCAGGTACATAGTAAGCCTCAGGCTAGCCTGGGCGACATGAGACCCTGTCACAAAAATTAAACAAAATGCCGTATTTAGTATGAATTTTGTGTTCTTCTGAATGATGTTAAGATATCTTGAATTCAGAGAGTTGCGGTTTCCCTGACTCAGAGAGCATGACCAGCCTGTGGTCCTTGAGAACCTTAGGCAACATCACAGAAAGGAAGCCTAATCTAGAAGGCTTTTCTTCCAGCTAAAGTTAAAGCTAAAGATCAGAGCCCTTTCCATGTCTCCCCGAGAAACAAGTAGCTCCGATGATGAAAGACATTCAACCTAGACAACATCAATAGAGTCTTCTATTCATAAAGCAACCCCATAGAAAACTGGCCCATCCTATTTGCCTGTGCTGAACCATCTTCTGGACCAAGAGGCTGACAGAAGACTGGTATACCCATGGTATCCAGGTTTCCAATGGATGCTTCTTGATGTTGATGATGAATGCCTGGATGTTAAGGAGGTCAGCCAATCGGAGAAAATTCATTTTGTCTGTAATGAGAAAAATAGCCCATGCTCCATGATTACTGTAACACTAAGGTCAAAGAGTGACCTAAACTACCACAACTTAGGAATCTGACAATTCCACCACAATACACAATTTTACATCTACTCATTAGTATTAATTGCCTTAATAATAAAACTTGGCCTAGCCCCATTCCACTTTTGAGTGCCAGAAGTTACCCAAGGAGTCCCTATCCTAAGCGGACTTCTACTACTTACATGACAAAAAATCGCTCCACTAGCCATCATATTCCACATCTCCTACTACCTAAACACTACCATAGTACCCCTATCCGCTATCATATAAGTCTTCATTGGCTGTTGAGGTGGATTAAACCAAACACAACTACGAAAAATCCTAGCTTACTCCTCAATCGCCCATATAGGCTGAATAGTAGCCGTAACCATATATAACCCCACAATAATATTATTAAACCTAATTATCTATATATTCCTAACTACATCAATATTCATTACAGTATATATATGTGCCTCCACATCTATTCCCTCATTTACAAAAATATGAAACAAATCTCCTCTACTAATGTCAACCACCCTAATTATCCTAATATCACTAGGAGGTCTACCACCCCTTACAGGATTCCTACCCAAATGAATAATCATTATCGAATTAACAAAAAACAACTGCATCTTCATAGCCCTATCGATAACAATAGCCCTGCTAAACTCTACTTCTACACCGCCAGGTCAGCTTCATAAAAGCTGAGCTCTGCATTTTACCTGAGGCTCCAGAACAGTGAAGGCCAAAGACCTCGGAGCACCTGACTGTACTCAGGCCTCCCACTCATTCTCACTCAGAGCATCAACCAACTCTAGACAGCATGTTAAACCAGAAACTCACTGGCACTTTCCTTCTCAGTTCTGTGAAGCGAGGACCCATGCTGTATTCACAGTGTAAAAACAGTCTGCCCTCTACATCTGTGGGTTCCACATTTTCAGATTCAACCGACTACAGATAAAACTATGTAAGAGAAAAGAAGCTGCATCTGTGCTGAACACATGCGTACTTTTTCTCATGGTTCCCTATGCAGTCCAATATAATGTTGTTGTTTATGAGGTACTTCCATTATAGGTGTTATAAGTAACCTAGAAATGATGGAGCTGGAAAGATGGCTCAGCATTTAAGAGCTCTGGCTGCTCTTGCAGAGGACCCAGGTTTGATTCCCAGCACCCACATGGCAGCTAACAACCATCTGTAACTCTAGTTCCAGGGGATCGGACACCTTCTTCTGACCTCCACAGGCATTGCACAACACAGATGCACTAGAAAGTAATCTAGAAGTGACTTAATGCATATAGGAGAGTATATGAAGGTTTATGCAAACACAGCACCATTTTATCTAAAGAATTTGCACATCCTCAGATTTCAGTGTCTTCAGGAGGTCCTGGAAGCAGCCTCCCACAAAGACCAGAGGACCACTGTGCTACTTTCCCCATTTCTTTGGGGAAGAGGATGATGAAAGGCAAAGGTTCCTTACCCACATGCCCCTCTGTCCCTTGTCGGAGATCCTCAGAAGCAGCTCCAGATGGGAGCTGCTGATGTCTGGCACCACCACCTTTGCCAGCTGCTTCCACGTGGCCTCCGTCACCACAAACTCTGCACCCACCTGGACTTTTAGAATACTGAATGCCTCTATTATTTGTGGAGCTTCAGGTAAGCTAGTTTGCAAATTTCATTCTTAAAGGAAAAGTTAAGCATTTTAAGACAAAGATTCAAGGAAAAGTCATTTCTTTAACTCTATGATTCAAGTTCATGGAGAAGGCCAGAAGAAGGCATGGGTGGTCAGCTAATGAGCAAGGTTCATAATCCCTCCCACTCTAGTCTGGTTTGCTAACGCACTCAGTTCTTACCAAAATTCCATGGGGAAACCAGTGAAGGGCTTTCTGCGTGCTGAGAAACCAGCAACAGGAGGCAGACCGTTCCCAGCTCCACTTTCCCCAGGAGGGAAAAGAGTTCAGGAAGGAAAAAAAGCGGCTGTGCTGTTGAGGAAGAGAGAGAGAGACCCAGGGAGAGGGGAAGACAGAGGAACCACTGAGTCAGTTCAGAGAGAGGAAGAGGAGGAGGAGGAGGGAGAAGAGGGGGAAGAGGGATATGAAACAAAGCTAGAAGTGGTACGGGGATGACAGGACAGTAGGGGCCTTGTCTGAGCAGCTATCTGGCCTGACCACAGGGAATCTTCCAGAAATGGAAAGGCTCCGGTTATAACCAGCCTTCCAGTCCCCATGGACACCCCTACTGCTCCCTGTAAGTCAGTCACCTAACATCACCATCACTTAGTGAATTACCCCACTAAACTGTGGATTCTTTTTTGAAATTTGTTGTTATTACTGTACACGTGTGTATGGGGTGTGAATTTCGCAGCATATGGAAGCTGGAGAACAACTTTGTGAAGTTGGTTCTCTCCTTCTGTCTCTAGGGATCAAACTCAGGTTGTCAGGTTTGGGTGGTAAACACTTTTACCTGCTGAGCCATCTCACTGGCCCTACACTGTGCATTAATATTTTTATTTAAGTTTTTATTCTTTTTTTATTTTACGTGTATGAGTGTTATGCCTGCATGTATGTAAGTGCACCCATGTTGTGCAGTGCCCGGGGAGGTCAGAAGAGGGAGTTGGATCCCCTGGAACTGGAGTTATAGATGGTTATTAGCTGCCACGTGGGTGCTGAAAACCAAACCTAGGTCTTCTTCAAGAGCAGCCAGTGTTTCTAACTGTTGAGCCTTTTCTCCAGCCCCTAGACTATGCATTCTCAAAGGGTAAGAGCTGATCACTCTTATCTTAGCTACAGAGCACGGATGGTGCCAAACACATAAGTAAGCCTGAGATATGTGTGCTGACTGATGCAGGTTACAAAAGATTAATTTCACAGGAGTATTTCTCAAAGAAATACCTCTTTAGGATAGGGGGAGGCATAGCAACAGTTCTGCCCAACAGTGAAACACAGATACCCACTGGACCCTCCTGAATAGCCTTTTACAGCAACGGGAAGAAGAGGCGGGGGACATGGCCTTGGGGTCAGAAGGTGTTGTGGCACCTTGGGATCTGAGCAGAGCCAGATACTTCCCAAGGCCAGATGGGCCAGGTCTGAGACTTAGTCCCACCGTTCCCTCCTCCCTAACTGCCACACTGTAGCTGTCCCCTGCCTCCTGTTCCTTACTGGAGCATCCTCAAGCAGTGGACAATTCAAAGAGAACAGAAGCAAAAGGCAAAGGGTTATACTAGGAAGATCACCCTCTGATGAAAGGCTTCTCTGAGTTTTGCGATAATAGAAACAGTCACCAGAGGCATGTGCAAAGGGTGGCAATGGAGGAGGGTAGCTGAGATAGCTCAGGGGTTCTGGAGTATTCGTGGTTGTAAACAAAACATCCTTCCATCTCAAGCGTTCAGCAGCCTCTGCCTGCCCACCACCTCCAGGAATTCTCTAAACATAAATCCAACAGGCACAACCAGAGGAGAAATGCTTGGCTTTACGAATGTTTGCTTTTGTTTGAGCAGGGAAAGAGGTAGGAATCTTAGAGAACATCCCCAACCCTTAGTCACACAACAAACATGCAAAGAGACCAGAGCTGTTAGATACATGAAGAACAGCAAGCAAAGCCAAGGACTTTGCACATGTGAAGGCAGATAGCCTGGCTAAGTCCTTTGTCCTTTGGATTTCTTTGGACATACCATCAGACCCATCACAACACTGATGAAGACACATCCCACTTAGCAGAAGGAAGCAGAATGCCAAGTTTGGAGCCACCAAAGCTAAGGCTCCTAAACCCAGCCCAGGTACCACCCTTACCCACCGCAGCCCCAGGCTTACATACGTTACCTTTAAGTGCTTCCTGTAATTGTTGTAAACCACAGCCAGAAAGATGGACATAAAGATGTAGGTATTGATGATGATGTAGGCTATAAAGTACAGAGAGTACCACCAATTGAAATTATAGGCAGGCATCCTGGAAGGAAATGATATGTCATATGGCTATGTATACCCCAGGTCCCCAGTGTGATTAAGGCCGACTTTAGGCAGCATCCCACAGGCACAAGCTATGTGTGGGAAGCATTGCCACACCTCCTTTCTCAGTCTCTGTCTTTGTGATTGAGCCTCAAAGCCATCACCATCACTGATGCCAAACCTGAGGCTCACTCTAACCTGCTCTACTGGAATTCCTAGTGGCAATGTTCAAGGACGGGAGGAACTTAGTGATCTCCCAATCCAATTCTCCTTCACAGTGAGAAAATCCAGACCTTGCAAAGAAAGCAACCTGCTGGGACTTACAAAGGGAATTAGAAGGATGTACACTCAGGGCTCTGCAGGACACTGGACTGCCTTGATGGGGGGAGGAGGACAGATCAATTGCTATCTTCGTTGGAACAATGAGAACTGAAGGGCTTGTGGATAACTGTGGCATAAGTGGAGACTGCCTGTGATGGGAACTGGATTTTCTACAAGAGGGGATTTCAGGAGGTACCAGCATGGCTGGCAGCTGGGGTCTAAAGGGAAAGGCCCAAGAGAATACCGTAGGGCCATGGACTTCACCTTGCTGATGTCTACATGAGAGCCAGGCCCAAGGTTTAGCAAGAATTGAGATCAGGTTGATGGGATGATCCTATACATTGCTAAAAGACCCCTGCCTCTCCCTCAACATGTATTAAAGACATGTGCAGTGAGAGTTCTGCCGGTGCTCTGGATCTGAAGAGCTATCTACTCAGAGTTGAACAGCTTAAGAATTATACTTGCTCCCAGCCAGGCATGTTGGCACATGCCCTTCATCCCAGCATTGGGGAAGCAGAGACAGGCAGGTCTCTGTGAGTTCAAGACCAGCCTGGTCTACATAGTGAGTTCCAGGAGCTAACGGGAGACCCTGTCTCAAAAAGACCAAAAAAATTAAAAATAAAAAAAATATATACTTGTTCCCAAACAAAGTAAGTCCATATTCTGAAGGACATAGAAGAAATCTCAAGGCTTTCCTCCTGAGCACTATCCACATGTGAAAAACAGGCATTTGTGGCTTGGAGATGCTGCTGATGTTCCTGTTCTTTTCTGTTTTATATAGCTAAACCGCTGTATCAGTGTTGAGAACCTGTCATGGTTCCTGCACAAAGACGGCTTCAGGTATTCAAGTTTACAACCAGAGAGATTCGAGTTAGAAAGTGGGCTTCCATATTTACGAATTGAATCAGGGGCTCATAAAATGGTTTAGCAGTTAAGGGCACTGGTTGCTCCTACAGAGGACCCAGGTTTAATTCTCAGTACCCACAAGGCAGCTAATAACTGTCTATAACTCCACTTCCAGGGACACGACTCCCTCTTCTGACCTCTGTGGGTGCTACACATTTACATACATGCAAACAAAATACTCATACATATTAAATAAATAAACTAAGCAAAATCATGGCTTTCAATTTTAAAAAGAATTCATCTTGTGATTTTGAAACAAGAGATTAGCCTTTGAGTGTACAATGTCATATTCAATATTTTTGCCACGAGTGTGAATGAGTAGAAAATGGTTCTCTTCCGTGTGTCGGCCCTGCTGATATCGGGAGACAGTTGCTTTCCCCTCCTTTTGTTTTCTGTGCTGCAGGTTGAATCTAGGGCCTCACAGGTGCCAGACAATCACAGGGCCTTTAAGCTACATCCTAGCCCCAAAGCTGCTTTTAATAACATAAAGTCTGCTACGGTAGCAGTTCATGAACAGGGATTAGGGATGGATACGTGACGTCTGGGCTGTTGGCTGTAGTGACCAGCACATAGATCTCAAATGCTATCTCCAATATGTTTATGAATTAGGGTGAGCCTTCCGCTGTTTTCAGCCCCCTGTAGGGAAGCAAAAAAAAAAATGAAACCACACATGTAAATTAAGTTGTAGCACCTGTCACTCTTTTCCCCTCAAGAGTGTTCTCGGAGTGGGGGAACCAGGAAGAAAGCGTCTGAGGACAGGTTCGACCACTGACAGGCTTGATTTTTCCCGGATACAGGAGAATCCTCAGGCAGACGCTTCAAGGAACACGTGCTTACCTGTCCCCGAAAAGCTTCATGGTCATGAGGGAGAATATGAACACACTAAACAGAAACAGGATGAAGACGCAGACAACGTCAGGCAGAGTGTTCTGGATGCTTAGGAGCGCTCTTCGGATCTAAAGAGGCAAAAGTTTACTTCTCATAGAAATCAACTCATTTTTGAAAAAAAAAAAAAAACCCAAGAAACTGAAACCACGTGCATTCTAAATTGTAAGCTTACCTGACGACCTTCGGGGAAGTTAATGAGGAAGACTGGCCTTAGGGCCCTGGACTATCCAACACTGTGGATATGAACGGCTTCCAGGGACCCACAGATTAACAGATCAATCACAGTCAGCTGTGAGAAACACAGGACAGAGACATCAGAACCACTCTCAGGACACCACACCAATTAGCTGTACACTATTTCTAGATGAATGGTCTTAGGCACAGAAAGGGTAAGTACATGACCCCGAATCACAGCTAGGAAGGGGCAGAATTGGGACTAGAATCCAGACAGTCTTGTTAGATCGGGATTGGCTGGGATAGTATGAAAATGAAAGAGAAATGAGAGCGACCTCAACATAAACAGGTCGCTCTTTATCAGAACAATGAGGACAACAATCTCTCTGTGGGATAGAAACTGCACTGAAGCACAGTTGGTCTAAGGTTTTTGAGGAGCTTGAAAGAGGAAGCAATAGAATGGGTGAATTGCAGGAGAGCCGTAAGCTTCGCTAAAGGAAGCCATAAAGACAGACATTCCTTAAAGTGGTCAACTGATCCTAAATTGGTGGACTGGCCTTTGCTCAAGCCTTATCAACTGGTCGCTCTCTGGACTGAGGGAGTCTGTTTATAGAGCCAACCTGTCTCCTTTAGTGCCATAAGATAACTCACCTGTTCTTCCTGGGAAAGTAATCTTAGGAAGAACACCCTCAACTACCCCAAGGACACTAGACCCTGACGCTGAGCAAATGCCTGCAGCTGCGTTCAACAGAATTCCTAAATAAGTCTGAACTGCTCCAGCCTTCATTGCAGATGCCCTCATTCCTCAGAAGGGTTTATCAGCCCTTTGCTGGGTTCCCTGAATAAAGGAGCACATTCCTTGCCTGGGGCAGGTCTGCTCTAATGCTTATTTCTAAACTTTAAACTCCTTCCTTTTTCTGCACTTCTAAATCTAACAGGAAAGACCTGGTATTTTTCTGTAGTTCTATTTTTTTTATGCTTTGAGAATTTGGGACAATAAATGCTGGTGTTACAGTTTAGAGGTTCACTGACATTTTTCCTCACATATTACAGTTTCCAGGTTGGGGCTTTCTCAACTCAGCTTGGAGCTTTCCAAGTTGAGATATTTATCCTACAAGTCTGATGTCCAAATCCTTGCAATTCATCACTGTTAGAGGCTTCCAGGCTTCAATCCACTGAGCACATAAAACAGAATGTCTAGCCTAGCCTAGTAACAGAAGTGCAAATAGCTAAAATAGACTCCTTTATTAATCTTTATTTATATTAAGTTTCTAGGTATAGGACTCAATGTACCTTACAAAACCTGGAAGTAGAAAAGAATAATCTGCCATCCTCAGAAAATGAGGTCCAACCCTAGGTGGTAAGACACAGATGATTTGCTGAGATTCCTCAAGGACCACCCATCTCAGGAGAAACAGGCACAGAGAAACTCCACTGAGCACCAACTAGAGGGAACCAGTGTGGCTGCTGCAGGGGAGCAGAGACAGGCAGATCACCAAGGATAACAGTATCTGAGGACGCTTCATGGCTGAGACATTCTTTGAAACAAGACAAAGAGCTCTGAAAATAAAGCTCAGCAAGGGCCAGAGCAAGGGCTGGAAGACATAGTAAGATAGGACCAGAAACAACCACCTAATGTGTCTAAGAAGCAGGGGGTTCTGGGAGTGCGGCAGAGGGAAGGACCAGGAAGTAACAGGTTACTGATGGCAGGATGCCTGAGGGCCAAGCTAGAGAGATGGGTCTTATTACCAGGAGGACTCTGGAAGTCTTTCTAATAAGAATGCCAGGAGGGCAAAGGAAAGAGACTGTTTGGATGAGGGGCAGCCTCATTCAATGTACCACATGTGCATTCGCAGAGCACCTTAGGTGCATAGCAGATTCTAGATATGCAGACAGCAGAGACCTGGGCAGGAGGTGCTGCCCTCAAGGTGCTCCTAGTCCAGTGGAAAAGAAGAACATGGGTGATCAGAGCTATGGGCTGTGCACAGTGCAGGGAGTGAGCTGCAGAGAATGTGGCGCAGGGGTGAGGCTAGGTAGGCAGTCAGCGAATCCATACAGGGAGAACTGGAAACCTCCCACAGCCACAAGGCCCCATGGGAATGGCAGGGAGGACTCCAGGCAGGAACTCTGCAGGGCAAAGGCCTGGCAGGCCCGGCCCCCACCATGGAGCAAGTGTGAGGATGAGAGTGGGAAGAGACCAGTCTAGATAAGGACTGCGACTCTTCTCTGCCACAATGTGGAAAAGCCATTGGGTGATCTGAAGCAAGGACCACTAGACACTGACTTGGGTATTTATTTGTTTATTATTATTATTTTTATTATTATTAATTAGTGTTGAGTGTGTGCATTATGCATTATGGGGGCAAGCCATCACATTCGCATGTCAGAGGAAGATTTTCTTCTTCCACCTCTAAGTGGTTTCCAGGAATCAAGCTCAGATCATCAACCCCACAGTGATGATGCTGAGCCATCTCCCAGCCCTGCTGACTTAGGGTTTTAAAGTGCACAGTGCCTATGACACTCTACATATAGTATGAGACAACTCAGGTTGGATACAGAAAGGTCACCTCAGAGAGCATCAACTTTGGCCATGCAGGGGACCATATGGAAAAATGGCAAGGGTCACTCATGACGGGCTAGTGCAACACCACACTTACCTAGTCCCTGAAAGGCCCCTGCTCACACAGGAGCCTTGCAGAATGCATCACCTGCTAGGTATATTATCTTTCCAGATTTTTCAATAAATGCATAATTTTTTCCTTCTTTTTTTTCCCCTTAAACCAAGATGAGATCTGACTGTATTATACCTGTTCTTTTGGTTTAATCTGTAGCTAGTATTTGCTCTGATAATAAACACACATATATGACTTTAACACACATACATGACTTTAAGGGGGCTGGAGAGATGGCTCAGTTGATACAGTGCTTGCCACACAAGTTGGGATTCCCAGCACCCACAAAACAGTTGGGAGATGACAGACAAGTGGGTTCCTGGAGCTCCCTGGCCAGTCTAGCAGAATCAGAGATTTCCAGGTTCAGTAAGAGACTCTGTCTCAAAAAATAAGGTGGAAAGTGACCGGGAAGACACCTGACATCAACCTCCAGCCCCCACATATACACACACAATGACACCCGGGCCTAAGGTCTACACAGTTGTGTCATGCTCTGTGTAACACATATCTATTATATTTGTTGTCCGTAATTTGACATTTCCAACTTTTCAATTTTGTGCCTAAATCTTTGCATGTATCTTTCATTCATTCACCGAAATGAAAGTCCACAGTGCAAGTATTTACACATTTAAAGCTTTGAAAGGAACAGCCAAACAGCCTTCTAGAAAGACAGTTCTATTTCTCTTTCTGATAAGGGATAAGAAGGCTGATTTCTGGGGCTGGAGAGATGGCTCAGAGTTTAAGAACACTGGTTGTTCTTGCAGAAGACCCGGGTTCAAATCCCAGCACCCACATGGCAGTTAACTCGTAACTCCAGCCCCAGGGGATCCCTGGGACAGCCTCTTCAGACCTCCGCAGGCATTGCATGACATGGGTGCACTTACCTACATGCAGGCAATACATGCATACACATAAAATAAAAATAATAAACTTTTTTTTTAAAAAAAGGCTGATTTCTCTTAATCTTGTCAACACTGTTTTATAGCCAAACACACAGCATTATATTGCTATTCTAAGCTATATTTTAGTTAGTTAAGCCAAATATCTCTCATATTCATTGTTCATTTTCTGTATTCCTTCTTTTATGAGGAGGCTTCACCTATTTTCAGTTCTTTTTTTTTCACTGAAGTATCTGCTTTGTTTTGTCTCAAGACAGGGTCTCATGTAGCCCAGGCTTCCCTCAAACTCATTATGTAGCTGAGGATGATCTTCTGCCTCCACCTCCCAGTACTGGGATTAGGGCATGTGGGCATGTGACACCATACCCAGCTTTTGTTTGTTGGTCTGAAAGTGCTCTTGATATGTTTTGATATTGTCACTTGTATTTTGCCGTATGTGATCTTCAATTTGTTTGCAGTTGGTTCATGATGCTTGCAATGCAGATGTGCTATTGTTATTTTAGCAACAGTAAACCTACCTAATATTTTCCTTTGTGGCTTCTGCTTCTGATCTCTCTCTCTCTCTCTCTCTCTCTCTCTCTCTCTCACACACACACACACACACACACAAACACACACACACATACACACAACCACAGATGCACACGCACATATACATGGAATACTCACCATGATGGTGACCATGATGCAGATGTTTTTTGTATCCTTCCAGAAAACCATTTGAAGAGTGACTTTTGCAAAATGCACCAGCCTCCCAAAGAACACTGTGAGACAGAGCCCTTCCGCTAAGGAGGTGGCCTGCAAAGAGAAGATACCGCTGAGCTCAGGGCTCTGTGTCTGGAGGCTCTGTGGAAGTTCTCTCAAAGCCTGTCCCCACTGTCACTCTACCTTTCCTGATGGCACCCCACCCCCAGTGAGCCAGGGCCCTTGATTTTACTAAGATTTACAGCTAGATTTTTTTTTTTTTTTTTTTTTTTTGCTGGGTGGGACAGCTTCTTCTCTTCAAAGGAAACCTGCCTTAGTTCTGTACCCTGTGACCCAGATCCGCAGGGCCTCTTGGGAGGACAATGACAGCAGGCTGAGGACCCTGACAGACACATCTCTACCGAAAAGGAGAGCTAGGGAGGGAGAGGCATACATCCTCTAAGCTCTCAAAGTCCCACATTCAAAGTATAGGCTTCTAGAAGCTACATTTCTCACACACTAAGGTAATTCCCTGCTGTGTTTGGTGTGCCTCAGAATTCATGTGGTAATTTAGTTCCCAAATCCTGTGCTGATGGTGTTTGGAAGTGGGGCTTTGAAGAGGTTAATTAAAATCGGAAGTGGCCCTGAGGGTGGGTCCCTTCCATGACATTAATGGCTTTATAAGAAGAGGAAGAGGAAGCTGAGTTAGCACACTTGCTCTGTCTTGCTAGGTAATGTGTTCCTCCATACTATGAGGTAACACAAAGACCTGAACCCAGACTACTCAGTTTAGAACCATAAATTAAGCAAACCTCTAGTTTTTATAAATTTCCCAGTCTCCAGTGTTTTGTTATAGCAGCAGAAAATGTACTAAGACATTCCCCAATCTTTCAGGCATCAGAGCCACATAGCTCTGTATAGGCTAGTTAGAAGAGAGGGTGAAGACTACTACCCAGTGTAAAGTCTTGATAGGTTCCCTCCATGGATTATTAGGCCTCATCTCAAAACTCCCTGAAGCCATGTAGTCATGCAGCCCATGACTGTGGCTCATGATGTCCTGAGGTTACTGTGCCATAAGCACACTCATCTCACAATGGCCTCCCCTCCAGCAGGAAGAAGAGGACAGCAAGGAAGAAGAGAGAAGGATGGGGCGGCTTGGCTTAGGCTATGAAGAGGGAAAGGACTGGGGGTCGAGCAGAAGGAATTCTCCCAGGAGTAAGAAGGAAGGGGCTGACTCTCAGGCTGAAATGTCACAGTCTCCCCCACAACACACACATTCAGCCCTCAAGAGTCCTTGGCATACACTTCACCCCTCAAACCTTTTAGCTGCTCACCCTCGAAGGGCTTCAGGGCCCGGAGCAATTCCTGGACACCCCTGTTTAAAGCAAAGCTTTCATGGCAATGTTGGGAAAGGGTAAAACTCTACAATGTATTTGACTCTCAAAACTTACAGCACAATTGCTGGCTGAAGGAACAGTCTGCAACCCAGGGGGTTAATGCAAAGCACCAGGTGACCAACAACATACACATAGGACCCAGGAGAAGAGGGAAGAAGCCAAGACCCGACTCCTCACACCTGTCACCTCGATGGGCTAGGCCAGTGCAAGGGAGGGACAGACCACACTGACCAGGTCTGTGATGCAGAGCTCTGCCCCTGCAGGCCTTGTGCTCATAGGAGAGTCACTGGGTCTCTTCTATCCAGACAGCTCATTAGCTGCAAACATTTTCTAATTTTAATTTTTTATTTTTCTGAGAATTTCATACATGAGTGCTGTATTTACATCATGTCACCTCTCCCTCTCCAACTCCTCCTGTGTCTCCCCCCTCTTAATTTCATGACCTTGTTCTTCTACAACTGTTACACATGAATACATATATGTAATATGTGCACACACATACACACACACACACATACAACCTACCAAGCCTATTTAGTGTTGCTCATACACACATGTGTTTAGTGTGGACTACTTGGGATTAGAGAGCCTATCCGGGGGCTCATTCCTGGAGAAAACTAATTCTCCCTCTCTCAGCAGCCATTGACTGCACGCAGCTCTTCATCCAGGGGTGGGGCCTTGGGAAATGTCCCCTGTCAAGTTGGCATGTCCACGCCGCCACTGTGCAGGTCTTGCTCAGGCAACATTATTGTTGCTATCTCGTGGGTGCAGCTTTCCTGCCATGTCTAAAAGCACTATCTAGCAGCCAGCATCCTGGTCATGAAATTTGCAGATAAGTGCAGCTCTCATCCCTCACCAAAGAAGCTTCTTTTTGCAGCAGTCAGTGGCTACTACAGAGATCCACAACTAGTCAAAATGTGGAGAATAAACAACTGTGGGTGCCCAGCTGCAACAACCCCTACACCTAAAACTCAGGGAACACTGAGGAAGAGGGGACAAAAACTTTTCTTTTAATTATTTGTGTATATGTGTGAATACACATGGACCACAACGCATGTGTGGAAGTCAGAGCACAACTTGTGGAGGTTGGTTCTCTCCTTCTACTGTATGGGTTCTGGGGTTCAAACTCAGGTTGTCAGGCTTGGCAGCAAGGGCCTTTACCCACTGAGCCATCTCACCAGCCCTAGCTGCAGAATCTTTATCACATGGAAGTGTGGTATATGCTACTTTGGTGGGATCCCATGAAGCAGACTTCTGATTTTTATTCCTTTATGTCACAAAAATATTAATCTGCCAAGACCACAGGCTGGAGGCATGTAAACAAGGGGAATAAATGCACTCTCACAGTTGTGGAGTCTGGAGGTCCAAGATCAAAGTGCTGGTAGATTTGGTTTCTGCTGAACACCTACTTCCTGGTTCCTTTTTTCAAAAAAAATTGCATATTATTTTTATTTTATGTGTATGCATGTAGTGCCTTACATGTATGTAAGCGCACCCGTGTCATGCAATGCCTGCAGAGGACAGAAGTGGGCATTGGATAACTGGAGTTACAGACAGTTATCAGTTGCCATGTGGGTGCTGTGATTCAAACCTGGGTCTTCTGTAAGAATAGCCAGTGTTCTGAACTGCTGGACCATCTCTCCAGCTCCCTGGTTCCTGTTTTGCTGTGTTCTCTGGGAGCAGAACTGGCAAGGGAGCTCCTGGTGCATCTTCTATCAGGACACAATCCCTTCTGACCGAATCACTTTCTGAAGGCCCTTCCTTGGAAATACTGTTGCTTGGGGGTTAAGGTTTCAATATATGAATTGGAGGGAGACATACACATTTTATTTATAGCGCCATTTTTAGCTCACAGGTTGTACAAAAATAAGCATCTACTGAATTTGGCTCAAGGCCCGGCATGGGCCCATCTACACATGGATAGACATCAGAGAACAACCTGCTGGAGTTGATTCCCTTCTTCCACCATGTGGGCCCTAGAGATGGAACTCGGGTTGTCAGACTTGGCAGTGGGCAACTATACTCACTGAGCCATCTTGCTGGCAACTCCTGACTTTAAAAAAAGTTTTTCTTATTTATTTTTATTTTATGTGTATGCATGTATTGCCTGCATATAGGTAAGTGCACCCATGTTGTGCAATGCCCGCAGAGGTCAGAAGAGGCTGTCGGATCCCCTGGGACTGGAGTTACAGACAGTTGTTAGCTGTCATGTGGGTGCTGGGATTCGAACCCGGGTCTTCTGCAAGAACAACCAGTGTTCTTAACCATGGGGCCATCTCTCCAGCCCCCTCCTCCTGACTTTTTTTAAGTATCTGGATTTAGGGTATCAACAGATCACTGAGATCTGGAAGACTAGAGAAGGGTCTCTGTGAAATCAGACAGACTTGGCTGGAAGCCTAGCTCTATCCTAGTGGTCAAGTGACCTCGGACACATGTGACAACCTTTCTAAGGCCCAGCTTCCTGGTACATTGGAAGGGGGTTAAGAACAGCAGCGTTAAGAACTTGCTCAGATGATGGGAGTGCTGTGGGACCTGAGGACACAGAGAAAGCACCCAGAGCCTCCACCAGGCAGGAAGTGCTGAGCAAGTGACAGCCATCGAGACAGAGCAAGTGACATATCAGATAACAGCCTGAGCAAGGGGCCAATTTGTCTTTAGAGCCTACCTGGAATAGCTGATTGATTTGATGCTTTACTCAAAATCCCCTCTAATCACCTGATAAACACCAATAAATGCTCTAATGATTTAGGACTATGAAAAGAGCTGAAAACATAGCAGGTCACATATTGCATTGAATGATAACATCATCTCCCTGGCGTCAAGGAGATCCCCTTTATGCCATCTCTACTTGATCTTTCCTTGGGTGACTAGGGGACTCAAAACTTCCATTGCCCTGAAAATACCTTATGACTAAAGCATCAGCCAAGTCTCTGACTCCCGATCAAGAAAACTGAAATCAAATTCGTATTTGTTGAAACTCAAGGAAAATGAGGAAGAGGCAAGAGGTTCAGCTTGTCTATGACAAAATTTGATTAGCCATGTCATTTGTTAATGATTCCCAAGAAAGGCAGTGGAAACAATGCAGGTTCCTCAAACAGGGCAAGAGCGAGGTCTACGCAGATACAGAAGTACGTGGCAACCTGCATTGTCCAGTGGTTATAAAAATAGTAAAGTCTGGAGAGGCAGAAAAAAGGGGTGGTTATCACTGTGGAACAAGAGTTAAACAGTTCTCAAACTCCTCTTTAATGACCAGTATGAGGTTAGGCATGGAGCTCAGTTGGTCAAATGTGCTTAACGTGCATGAAGCCCTGAGCATGATCCCGAGCACCACACAAACCAGGCAGGGTAGCACACATCTATAATTCTAGCACTGGGAAGGTGGAGGAATGTGGCTCAGGAGTTCAAAGTCATCCTTAGCTACAAAGCAACTTTGTGACACATGAGACTTTGTCTAAAATAAAAAGAATAGAAAAAAATAAAGAAGTTGTAGCTTGGTCCCATCTCTTTTAAATTACAATAAACAAAGGCAGTATTTAAGTGAACTCAATAAAAACCAAAACGAACAAATAAAAAACAACATTAATATAGCCAGGCATATGGCTTGCACTTGTAATCTCAGCACTTCGGTGGCAGAGGGAGGGGGATTATGAGTCCAAGGCTAATGTGGGCAAGACCCTGTCTCAATTAAAAAAATAAAAAATAAAGTAATATAACCAGGTCAGGCGTGGTGGTTCACACCTTTAACCCTAGCACTCAGAAGGCAGAGGCAGGTGGATCTCGTGATTTCAAGGCCAACCTGGTCTATATAGTGAGTTCCAGGCCAGCTGGGGCTACAGGGAGACCCTGTCTCAAAAAAAGACCAAAATAAATAAATAAATAAATAAATAAACAAACAAATAAATAAATAAATAAAATAACTAAGAAAAACATTAAGACTATGGTATTTCTGAGCTGTCTCAGGCTAGAATTGGTGCTGTCTTCATGGGGTTGTTGTGACAGTAATAAAAGAATACTCCTTAGAGGACTCTGGCCAATGCCAAATGCAGAGTAGACTGTCAGTCAGTGACCAGACATTCTGTTAGACTACTAACTCAGTTTAAGAAGGCACATCCCGGGGCTGGAGAGATGGCTTAGCAGTTAATAGCACTGACTGCACTTGCAGAGGACCTGGGTTCAATTCCCAGCATCCACATGGCAGCTAACAACCATCTGTAAGCCCAGTTCCAAGGGATTCGACACCCTCTTCTGACTAATGCAGGAACTGCATGACATGGGGGCACTTACACACATGCAGGCAATACACATAAAATAAAAATAATAAATAAAATATTTTTAAAAAGAAGTTCCGGATGTGGTGATACATGCCGTTAGTCCCAGCACTTAGTGAGTTCCGGGTCAGCTGGGGCTACAGGGAGACCATGTCTCAAAAAGACCAAAAATAAATAAATAAATAAAATAAAAAGGCGGGGGGGGGCATGATACCCCCCACCTGTGTGGCAGAATCTAGGCAGGAAATGTTTTCTCCTTTGGGGGATATTGACTGTGAGTTCTGATAAGAAATATTTTTTATTTATTCTAGGCCAAACAGTTGATCTTTGTTCAGTCCTTAGAGGGTGAGAAAGAAAAATCTAGATTCCCATAAAATTAACAAATATGTAGATTGCATCAAAAAACTTCAGAGGACAACTTTTCCTCTGTAGGAAAGGCTACAATGCTTCTTTAACTGAAACATTCTTGCTCCTGTCCCAGGTCCTGTTGGTCATTCATTTCTTTGTTTTTAATTGACCGAATACACCCTATGTATAAGACACTGTGCCAGCAAATTTAAAAAAAAACAAAGAAACAAAAACATATGAAGTTTCAGGGATAGAGGTGTGGCTCTGTGGTATAGTCCTTACCTGGAATGCTGAGGCCCTGGGTTTGATCTCTACCACAACAAGGGGAGAAAAGTGGGATTTTATCCAAATCTCTTCACTATATTCTAGAATAGATTCTTCTCAAAATTACTTATGGAAATGCTGCCTCTCTTTGGGTTCAACTCCAAGGAGACACGAGCTCGTGGACAGGTATTCTGTATGACATTTTGATATTTTCATTACCTGATAGCCTCGGGCGATGTTTCAAATGGAACATTCCTGTTGTACTGGGCATCAGAAATGTAGGCAACTGCCAGGAGAAGGTCCTGTTCCCCACGGAGAGGAAGCAAAGGGAGAAAAGAGTCAGAGCCGGAAAGCACACTTTTCCTTCTCCTTTATGAGGCATTAAGTGAAGGCGGTCCTGGCGCCCCTCCCTCCAATCGCTATCCCTAGAAGTGATATTATTGCCTTGATGACTTCTGTGCCCAACTCTTTAAATTCTTGAAATAAATCTTCTAATAGTCAATTCACTCAGAAGATGTATGGATGGAAATGAAGAACATGAAAACTTGTCAACACCATTAATAGTAAGCAACTGCAAACAGAACTCAGAAGTGATCACTGCATAGCCAGTGTTATGATTTGACTTTGATTTTTTGAGACAAAGTCTCACTGTGTAGCCTTGACTGGCCTAGAACTCACTATGCAGACCAGGTTGGCCTCAAACTTACATAGATCTACCTGTCTCTGCCTCCTGAGTGATGGGATTAAAGGTGAGCACCACCATGCCCGGCTCAATGTTATGGCTGAGCCCTCTGAGATCTAATTAACTCTAAAACGCACCTCCACAAGGACTCTGACCTTATGAATGGATTAATCCATTGATAGGTTCACAGCTTAATGGGTTTTTTGGGGGTGGGGGGGTTGGCTTCCAGGAGGTGAACAGCTATGTTCCAACACACACTCGCCACCATGATGTCCTTGCTCACCTCAGGCCCAGAATCAAATGACAGAGCCAAATGACTATCGGTTGACACTGTGAGCCAAGATAAATCTTTCCTCCTTCAAGTTAATTTTCTCCAGTATTTGCATAGTGATGAAAATGTCACACCATTAGAATGGCTAAAATAAAAAAGACTGATCGTACCAAGTGTTGGCAAAAATGCAGAGTAACTCGAACTCTGACACATTGTTGACAGAAGTGGGAAATGGTGGGTTTACTTTGGAGAACAGTTGATAGAGCATTAAAAAGTTTAAAAAGTGTGACCCAGCCATTCATTCTGTTCCTAAGTACTTACCAAAAAGTAAGCATCAGTCCATGCAAAGTCATGGTACACCCCCAGTCCAGGAATGTGGCATGTGTCAGACACACTATTTAAAGGCTGCCCATGACATGGGTGCACTTACATACATACACTCATACACATATAACAAAATAAAATAGATTAAAAAAATGAGGGTTCCCAACACTCTTTTAAAAACCAAAACCAAAAGAGTTGATGAGGGACAACAAGCACTGTAAAAATGCATGATCCTTTTTGAATTATGTCTTCTCAAGGCTGGTATGACAATTCTTTCTGTGGTTGTTGTTTTGGTGTTTTGGCCTGTTTGTTTGTTTGCAGGGCTAAGAATCAAGCTGAAGGCAAGCTCTCTACTACTGAGCTGTACCCTCAAGCTTTGGTATGACTATTTTTAAAAGTAATTTGTTAAAACCTAAGCAGTGGGCCTGGAGAGATGTCTCAGTGGTTAAGAGCACTTGCTGCTCTTGTAGAGGATCCAGTTTGGTTCCTAGCATACACATGGCAGCTCACAAGCATCTTTAACTCTAGTTCCAGGAGATCTAATGCCCCTCTTGTGGCCTCTGTTGGCACTACACAAATGTAGTGCACTTACATACATGCAGGTAAAATGTTCATATACATTAAAAAAAAAACCTAAGAAGCACCTATGTGCTTAATAGTAAGTGATTTTCTTTGATATACTTAAACAATGTTAATAGAAAAAATTTCATATCAATTATCTTTCCACTGAGCATCTTTAACATTGAAGAGTAATATAATCCCCAGGACCAGAATAGAAATCTATTTCAGGCAGAAAATGCCTAACATTGGTAAGACTTTGTTTTTAGCTTTTTAAAAAGAGAACACATAAAAGCTTTAAGAAAATTCTTGTAAAACTCAGAAGGCTCACAGAGGAACAGCAAAGAATTCAGTTATTCTGTTAATAAAACATATCGTTCTTTACCTCCAGCAAAATTTATTTCTTGAGGTGCTAGGGATGGAACCTGGGGCTTTGTGCGTTCAAGGTGAACATTCTACCACTGAGCTACATCCCCAACCTAGCCAAATCTTTAAAGCCACTGCTGTCTCTAATTTTAAAAGATGACATGGAGATGAGACTATGGATCAGTGGTAGAGATGGGTTTGGTATAAGTAAAACCTTGGTCTAATCCCCAGCAACAAAAAAACAAAACCACCACCACCAACAACAAAATCAATGACATTAACAACCTTGCCATGTAACCACAAACATAGGCATAGTGACAGTGGTGGATTTGAAGTGTATCATTCACACCCCTTCCAGGTGGAAAGAGGAAAAACACTACAGTGACCCTCAGCCAGCCAGCCCAGGGGTTGTGACCTTGAATGAAACAAATACAGCATCCCTCCTTCCAAGTACCCCTTCACCAGGAGCCCGTCCCTGGTACATTAAAATCTCTTCACTTTCACAATACCTAGTTGACCTTTAAACTAGCATTCCAAAGCATTCCCCTTCTTTTCTAAGAATTTGCTTGATAACTTGAAATTCAGATCTTTCCTCTTCCAAGGTAAGCCTTCTTTCCTCCACTCCATTTTCCCTAAAGGTCATCAACGTGGCTGCCCCAGCACAGTTATCCACCACTGCAACAGTCCCAGCCCTTGGGATGAATGAGTGCTTTTCCTTCTTCATAGTCACCATCTTCTAGGTGAGCTGGGTACAGTGTTTAAATAGACCCATCTTTTGCCTACCTGTATGTAAGTGCACCTGTGTTGTGCAATGCCGGCAGAGGACAGAAGAGGGCATCAGATCCCCTGGAGTTGGAGCTACAGACAGTTATTAGCTGCCGTGTGGGTGCTGGGAATCAAATCAAGGTCCCCTGAAAGAGCAGGCAGCTCTCTGAACTATTGAGCCATCTCTTTGGCCTCAGAAGCTTTATCGTTTTCAGTTCCCTGCAGAGCTCCTTCATCCCGCCCCACAGACTTGCTCCTGCCACGTGGCTTCAGGACTAACCACAGAAGGGCAAGATTTCC